GAACTGAATTTAAAGAAGCTAAGTAATTATTCAGCAAGTTACAAATTGGTATATTTTTCATAAAATATATAGATTTTTGTTGCTGTCGAATTTTTCTTAGTTAGTAAAATTTCTTCCCTGGCTTATAATCGTTCAAGGACAATTGATAATCATCAATCAGAGCAAATTGCCTGCCATTTAAGTTTCTGTCCCACTCAGTCCCAATTTGCTCCAATATTGTTCATGCCCAAAGAACAAACACRGTTTTGTATGGGTTTGCAAATGTTTGAGTGTTTTTGTGACTAAAAGCTGCAGAAAACTCTGCATTTCTACAGCTTTCTGTCTCTGCCAGCTGCTGTTTTATATACTTCACCTTCCTGGTGAGGCATGTTTAGATTTAAACGAGTGCATTTTGTCTTCTGATTTACTGGTTTTAGCTGCATGTTGTCCTCAGTCTCCATGAAAATTTAATCTCGTCACCCCCCCACTTTTAGCTGTCAGTTTACCTGTGTTCTTTGGCTGAATTCTCCAGCTGTTTGTGCCTGTGTTGCTTTTGTTCGTCTTCGCAGTTGTTTTGACGTTTGTTTTTTTGCTACATTTCTTTTGTTTAGTTTTGATTTGTTTCCAGCCTTTTCTATCTCAGCTTGTGAATTTAGCCTGCCAAGTAATTTATTTATTTTTTTTAAAACTGTCAATTATGTTTGCTTCTTTTTAGTCACAGTGCATTGTTTTCAGTGTTGTCCTACACAGAAATTATCTTCGTTGTAGTTTAAGATGAGTTGGTATTTGTTAAAAGAAAATATAGAGTTTATTTAAGACTGGTCCAAGACAAGTATTTGGAATGAGAACAATGTATTATCAACACATTATTGTGATGATGGCACAAAATGTACGTAAAATGATTTGCCAGTACCGTTGTTTCACTTAACACAAATCCTTTGTCTCAGGTGATTTGGTTATCAGTGGGTTACAARCTGCTCAAGACACCAGGCGCTGCTAGGTTTGGTGCTTAAACACGAACGAACGAACGATGATAAAAACATTAAATAACAGAGAAACTGTTTGCACTCAAGAGGAAAATGTATTTAAGCTATATTTTAACTTTCTGAATGTTTCTGTATCCAGCATGTGTTGTGCTTCACCAGTGTCCAATGCCACTATGTGATGTTCAAACCCCCCCGCCCCCCATCATCAGCGATAAAATTCAAGCCTCAATCAACTGTAATGATGCACAGCCTGTGTAGTGGACCCCACCCCAGGGAATGCCCTCTCCAGCCCACCCTGCAGACGGCAGTGTTAAGGCWGGTTTATACCAAAGCTGGACCCCCTGTTGGGTGTCAAAAAATWGCGTAKCTTRTGTCTGCTCTCCCGCTACTYTCCCCCGGTCAGAACTGGGGGCAATGCACACTGCAGACCTTGAGTCTTACAGAGTGTGATTGGTCAGACCTT